AGAGAGAGAGAGAGAGAGAGAGAGAGAGAGAGAGAGAGAGAGAGAGAGAGAGAGAGAGAATGGAAGGGACAGGTTGAGGAGGTGACGGAAAGAGTCTAAGATGCGGAAGGAAAACTTTGAAAAGCCGTGAGAGAGTTGAAAAACGGGAGGCAAACCCAGAGAAGTGGAGCCGGCAACAGAAGACGATGAAAGGCAAGGGAGACTGTGCAGAAGGAAGAGATGATTCAGAGACACGGTCAGACGAGCATGAGAGGCCAAGGGCGTAGTTGTGATGGGTTGCAGTCTGTAGGCTGGAAAACATGGCATCAGGTCACGGATCCTGGGACGCAGGTCAGGGATCTCAGGTTGTCAGTTGAAGGCTGTAATTCATATGCTACAGCCTGAGAGATGCAAACTGCAGAGCCGACTATAGCCCACCAATCATACACTCAGACCAGACATCTGAGGGGTGAAGAGTGCGGCCGTTCCTCACACTGTCACTGGGCCTTTCCCAGATGCATCTGGTAACAATACCAGTGCTAAGGAGTCCAAGCGGGTGGCCCAAGACTTTCACGAAGTAATCTGGAGTCCCACTGCAGTCCTCTCAGGTCATACACTTAGATCCGATGTCTAAGTGGTGGAGACCGAGCGCATTCCTCACACTAGCGCTGGGCCTTTCCCAGGTTCATGTGGCCACAATCGCAGTCAGATACCAGAGCAAGGAGTCCAAATGTACGCATCGCCCAAAGACAGTCACGAAGTAATCCTGCAGTACAGCCTTCAATGAAAGTACTAGGATCCTCAAGTCGTACACCTAGATCAGCTATCTGAGGGGTGGAGAGTGTGGGCATTCCTCACACTGCCACTGGGCCTTTCCCAGGCGCATCTGGCCACAATTGCAGTCCGATAAAAGAGCACGACCATTACAGTGTGCAACGTCTCTCCAGTGTGAAAAAGATCGTTCCTGACAAATCAAAAACAGGCATAAAATAACGAACTTCTGGCTTCCCACATGTCCCACTCTCAGAAAATGGGACAAACAAGGACCCAAAAAAACTCACAAATAAATGGGTCAACGGTCGGAGGACGTAAAGAAACTCCCAAACAAATGAGACAAATGGGTCAAACAAGGACCCAAACAGGCATAACATAACAACCTGGGACAAACAAGGACTCTTCCCCCATGTCCCACTCTCAAACAGACGGGAATGTTCCTCCCTCAAATAGATGGGAATGTCCTACTCTCTATTAGATGGAGGGTGTCCCAGTCTCAAATAGATGGGAATGGACAAACAAGCGCCCCAATGGGCATAGCATAACGATCTGGGACAAACAAGGACTCAAACAAGCATGTAGCCTAACAAAGCTCTCGCTTCCCCATGTCCAACGGTCAAATAGATCGGAATGTCCCACTCTCAAATAGATGGGAGAGTGGAATGTCCCACTTTCAAATATATGGGAGAGTGGGAATGTCCCACTCTCAAATACATGGGGCAAACAAGGACCCAAACGGGGATAACATAACAAACTCCTGGCTTCCTGGGTGGCCCGCTCTCAAGCAAAAGGGACAAAAAAGGACCTGCACTACCAGACAACATCATCATAACCCTTTACGGGCACCATTACGAGGTGGCACCGTCAAAGGAGAAAAACAAGGCCGTATTGGTCCCATTCCTCATGGCACAGCGTCAATGTGCCCCAGCATGACACTGCAGCTCATCCAGACATATCAAGGGCGGGAAATCACAACCTCCTTCTCTCTCTCTCTCTCTCTCTCTCTCTCTCTCTCTCTCTCTCTCTCTCTCTCTCTCTCTCTCTCTCTCTCTCTCTCTCTCTCTCTCT